TCTCTTGGCGGCGTCGAGTTCGGCCTGTGGGATTCGGCAGTCTCAGGCTCCGCGTAGCAGCCGGGGGCGCGCGTGGCCCGTCCGGGTCGGCGGCTGAGTCCCCTGCGCCGTCTGTCGCCTCCTTGCTGTCTGGGCTTCCGGCTCGCTCAGCCCTGCTCTCCTTCCCTTCCCTCTCTGTCCGTTCCTCTTCTCTGCAGGCCTCAGGACCCTCCGGAGACGGGCGAACCACAGAAAAACGCAAGTTCTCTGCCTTCTCTAACAAACATCTGTTCCGCAGAGTAGGCTTCGATCACTGCCTCCGTTTAAATAAAGGGACGGGACAGCCCTTCTCCGGCCGTGGCCTGCCGTTGCCCTTGGTGCTTATAATTGGGAACACTGACTATTCTTTTTTTAATGATGGCATGACTGTAAAATGAATTGGAAGTAGTTCTGTCCCCGAGTTGGTTATTGGTTCTTTCTCTTTCCGAGGGTCTTGCTAGTACGTAATTGGGGTTGGCCTTGAACTCGCGATCCTCTGGCCTCAGCCTCGGGAGTACTGGGATTACGGGCGTGTGCCACCACGCCCCGCTCGTGTATGGAGCTCTTAATTTAAAAATAAGGTGGTACGGTGAATTGAAGTGGCCCCTAAGTGGAACAGAAGTTAAATGTACTGCGATGGCGCTGTCCAATTCAGTTGCTAGCCAGGTGTGATTGCCGGCATTGAGCAATTGAAATGCAGGCCGGTCTGAATTGAGATGTTCTGAAAATGTGAAATGTGTCTTTTTTGGACATACTGTGTTAGAGTATGTCTGAGGTTAATTTCACCCTGTTCACTTTAAATAAGGCTTCTAGTACATTTAAAAATCACACATGTGGCTTGAATTTGTATTGGGCAGCACTGATGTAGAAGCAAGTGTAGGACTGGTGGAAAATTACGGAACGGGACCGACAGCAAAGACAACGCGCTCGGAGTAGGACCTCTAGACACCTTCGGAAACGGGCGTCCACTCATTTTCAAAGCATTTCCCCGTACTTTTTAAATTCGAATCAAGTCTAAAATCTCGATGAATTTTTCTACTGAATCTCAAATCTGTTTTATAGGCTGTGGAAGGGACTGCACTGGACAGGAGGTCCTTCATTTCCCAAACTGCTTGAGTTGATACTGTTTTTATGGTTGCTAAATTCCAAAGCTGTAGTTCATTTAGACCTAATTAAAAGTTCTCAAAGTGATTGGTGTAACTTGAATATATTTTTTTTTCTTTAGGGGCTTGTCCCACATTATGTGGGCATTTGTCATTAAGGTTATTGGTACTTTTTAGGTATACAGTATGGTGACGTTCATCGTTGGGAATTTGTATCTGTACATGATGTCTTGGTTCTTATTTTTTTCCCCATTCCCCTGCCCTCCAGCCCTTCTGCCCCTCCCTATTCACAAAGACTTTGTTTCTGTTTTTTTCTTTTTTCATTTGTATAAAGCAGTGTTTTATAACTTATTCTGTTTGCTTTCTTACCAGACCAATGAAGACATATATTTGAAAACATTTTTGTCATTTATAATATTTTGATAACGTTTTGGGTCTTCTGTCAACTTAGAAGCTTTATTTTCTTCTCTTGTTTTTTTGGTTAAGGTATCTGTTATCAAATTATTAATTTCTTTCTCATTCCTCAGTTACCTTTAAGCAAGTCATTTAGAGGTAGGTTAGAAGTTGTGAAGTGCTTATAAAGCCTTTATGTCTGGATATTACCCTTAGTGGTATATGTGATCTGCTAGGATACCCTCCATATATTACCTATACTTAGTACAAGTAAACAGAGGGCACTTAATTGTCAAGGAGACTACTAATCTGGGGAGTCTCTCAGACTTTTGAGAGGTTTTTCTGATCCTGGGGTGGAGAGAGTTGAAACTGGTGTCTTGAGAGTAAGTCTACAATGCAGACCTTGAACATGGCTTGGATTCAGGCTCCTCTGGCCGACCAGATACGTAAGGTAGAAAAGGATGCAGCCTTTGCTGCATACTAAGTTGTGTAGCTGTTCCAATGTAAATGTCTTGTTTTTCTGAATACTTGTAAATAAAAGAAATCAGCTACTCCTGTGTGCCTGCCAACCTAATGGAAAACCGCTAAAGATAGGATGATTATGTTTTAACTTTTGAAATATGTAAGTTTTGGAATTGAGGTATAATTTAGCTTAGATTGGTTATGGAATATTTGACTGATCTGCTTTTGTCTCCACAGCATCTGTGGTTCTGTTGCGCCATGTGTGGCATTTGGGGCCTCTTTGGCAGTGATGACTGCCTTTCGGTGCAGTGTCTGAGTGCTATGAAGATTGCACACAGGGGTCCAGATGCATTCCGTTTTGAGAATGTCAATGGCTACACCAACTGCTGCTTTGGATTTCACCGGTTGGCGGTGGTTGATCCTCTATTTGGAATGCAGCCAATTCGAGTGAAGAAGTATCCTTATTTGTGGCTCTGTTACAATGGTGAAATCTACAACCACAGGGCGGTAAGCAAAGGAAACCAGAAAATGCCTGCTTATGATGAATCCTCAGAGTTGACTGGCTATAATAATTTTTTATATTTTGTGATTTTTTAAAAAGTATTTTTCTGTATTGATTATCTCATTTGTTGAAGTCATATAGCATGCAGGGCATTGATGCACAGAGAGGTGAACTGACTTGGTCACACAAAGTAATAAAAATGGGGATTACAATTTAATCTGATTCTTTGATTATTGTATTTTTTTCTATTACAAATTTTAGCATTAATTATGGTTTCACTAGTTCTGTGTTAGAGACTGCAGTAAAAGGGATAGATCGGCAATTGAATGGGGCTTATTTTAATAGGGAACAGGTGAAATATTGTTTATACAGCAGGCTTTCTGAACGAACAGTGACAGACTGACTATGAGGACCACTTTTGGGAAATGTCCTCAGAGCATGGCCTTTGAGGAAGTGACACCCAAACTGAGATCGGTGGACAAAGATCACCCAGCCAGGATGGGCAGAGTGTTGGATGCAGAAAGGAATGGCAGGTGTAGCGGTGTAGCAGCCTATGGTGGGAAGAAAGCTGTCCCGGGATTGCAGTGAGAGGCTTGTGGGGAAGGGATGCTTGGCAAGGTAGGTGACGTGGAGCAGGACATAATAGCCTTGACAAGACGTTGGAATATCATTCTAAGGGCAGAAGCAATCAAGATTTTAATGGGGGGATAGAATTTAATAGTTTGGAGATCATCACATTTATAATTTCTATAGACTGCCACTGAGGTGGAGGCTGTAGTGAAGTATATTAGATTTTTAGCAGCTGGAACAACTTCCTGATCTGATGAACCTTATTTTTAGGATGAGAATGGGTGAAGAGATGGACATTTTGATCCTAGGAAGCCAAATTTGATAAGCTTCCAGGATTTTTTGTGTAGTGTTTCATAAAAAATTTTATCTACAGTTTGCAAGTCATTTTTTGTCTATCGGTCTCCTCTCCAACTTTTAAGTTTGAAAAAAATTTCAAGCATTCAGAAAACAGCAATGATCATCTAGATTGACAAGTTGTAATTGCCAAGAACAATGGGATAAGTGTGTTTGAAGTGTATGAGAGGTGTGAGAGGGTATTTGAGTGTTCTGGAGGGGATTAATAGCAAAGTGTCTTTTACCGAAATACATTTTTTAGAATTTAAATGTTCACTCTGTATTTTGATGACCCCTTGCGTATTTTTGACAAGAGCCACTCCACTCTCGTCCACTTCCCACTAACATGACACTTCATTCTTGACTTCCTTTTCACCATTTCATTTCCAAGCCCCTGGAAAAATGATGCCTGGTATAAGAGAAGCTTTTAATGTAAGGATTAAAAAATCTTCAGATTTTGTTGTCCATGTGGGTTCTGGGGCCAGTCTTGCATGGACACTAAGGGATGACTGTATCTATAAATATCTGTGTGTTACATAGTATGTATAAAAGTATTCATCCCTCCACACATTACTCTTCTGGTCCGTGCCATTGAATGCTATTTATCAGAGTGCAACTAAAATTATCAGGGTTCAGTCTTATGTTACAGTGAATTTGCAGAATTGTTTGTGAATTGCAACAAACTGTTTTTATAATGCCACAATTCTTTTAAATCAAGATGCATGAAATGATTGTAAGGCACCAAAATATTTAATCAACTTTGCAAGAGAAAATTCATTGGTGAATGTACAAGAATCCTAACATTTTTGCTTTGCTCTGCTTCCTTAAGATGCAACAGTATTTCGAATTTGAGTACCAGACCAATGTGGATGGAGAGATAATTCTTCATCTGTACGCCAAAGTAGGAATTGAGAAAACAATTTGTATGTTGGATGGGGTGTTTGCGTTTATTTTACTGGACACTGCCAATAAGAAAGTGTTCTTGGGCAGAGATACCTATGGAGTCCGACCTTTGTTTAAAGCCATTACAGAAGATGGATTCCTGGGTGTGTGTTCAGAAGCTAAAGGTAATAAAATTTCTATGAATTTTTAATCTTGTCCTGGTTTTGATCATACTTGAAAATCCCATGGCGGGCCGTCCAAGTTTTTTACAAGTGACTAAGCAAGCTGTGAATTCTTTGAGCTTGGTTTTGTTTTGTTTTTTAATAGATAAGCTCTCTCTGTCAGCACTTAAATTCTGTTATCCTTGAAGGACGAGTTTATAGTACATTTCTGTGTTGTTAGGCTAATATATTCTGCATGTGGTTTGATCTTACCTGCATGTTTAAGTTTTCATATGTAATATCATTGAAGTAGTCCTGCAATTATTGCCCTGTGGTACTTTGCTATAGCTATTGCAGAAGTAAATCATAGCATTTAAAAAAATAATAGCATTTTAAAAAGAGCTTTGTTGATATATAATTCACATACTATATAACTTATTTAAAATTCATGTCAGTGTTTTTAGTACAGTCACAGGTCTTATAACCAGCACGCCAATCAATTTTGGTATATTGTTAATCACCTCCAAAATAAGCCCTCTACTCTTCAACTGTTGTTCCCCAGCCCTTCTTATCTGTCATGTACAGCCCTCTTCCCACACTTCAATCTTTGGCAATCATCAGTTTTTCTTTCTCTATGAATTTCCTTATTCTGGTTATTTCATATAAATAGAAAAATATCTTTGTGTATTGTGACTGGATTTTTTAAACTTGGTATAATATTTTTAAGATTACCTTTTTGCAGGTACTTGTTTTTCTGGAATTGTAATATTTTATTACACGGATATGCCACATTTTGTTTATTTCTGGATAATGCTGCTATAAATGTGTACAAGTTTTTGTGTGTATATACATTTTTCTTTTGGGTGTGTACCTAAGAGTGGAATTGCTGGGTGATCTGTTAACTGTTAGTGGAACTGCCAAATTGCCAGAGACCCCTGTAGTCAGGCTCCAGTACCCACCTGTCCAGTAGTATATGGTGCGGGCCTGAGAAAAAAAATACAACAAGAGACAGAACTAGGAGAGAAAGCAGGTGCCATGATGACCAATGCCTGTACAACTGACAAAGGTGCTGGCCAGTCACAGATGCAGACTTTTATTGGCAATCCATTGGGTTAAAGACAAGCTTCAAGTGGTTTCTATGGAAATTAATATAAACAAGGGTCATAAAGCATGAGACAAAGTATTCTCAAATTCGGAAAAGAATACACAAAATAGATGGTTGTAATGAGAACATTGTCCTTCTAGTTAGTTGGTTTTAGTTGTGGGAATGGAATTTGGATGCGAGGTACTCTGACCTCAGCATGTAGGCTTTGGCTAGACTCATTTCTCAAAAGAAGCCCATTGTGGGGTTAACTATTTACAGACTGCTTTGGTCATGATCAATATCATGGTGTCCTCTGCACCAGATGGTTTTCCAGTGGGTGTATCAATTTACACGCCTACCAAAAATATATGAAGCTTTCAGTTTTTTATATTGGAGTTTTTCATTTTACCCATCCTGGTATGTGTAGAGTGGTTTCTGATTGTAGCTCTGATTTTGCATTTTCTTACAGTGATTATAAGCATCTTTTCCTGTGTTTATTAGCCAATTACATCTGTTCTTGGGAGTAACATCTATTCAGTGTCTTTGTCATTTTTTTTGTTTTGTTTTCTTGCCTGGGATAATTTTGTTTTCAAAAATTAAGACTCTTTAGAAAAGTTTATAGCTTCAAAAAAATGAGCAGGGTACAGAGAGTTCCCGTATACTGTCTCTGTCCTGCCAGGTCCCTCTGTTGTTAGCATTTTATTTTCTGTGGTATATTTATTAGAATTGATGAACTGAGGGCCGGGAATTTAGCTCAGTGGTTCGGTGGCCTGCCTCGCAAGCACAAGGACCCGAGTTCGATCTCCGGTACCAAAAAAAAAAAAAAAAAACCCGAAAACAAACAAACAACCAAACACAAGAATTGATGAACTGATACTGATTTAACTAAAGTTCATTTTTTACATTAGGGTTCATGTGTTGTACAGTGTTTTGCTTTAAAAATACATAATATTACATATTCACTAGTACATTATCATACAGAATAGTTCCATTGTCCTAAAAATCTGTGATCCACTTTCCACTTCTACCACCTGAACCCCTGGCAATCACCAATCTTTTTACTGTTTCCATAATTTTGCCTTAATGAGAATAACATATAGTTATGATTGCATAGTATGCAGCCCTCTTAGACTGGCTTCTTTCACTTAGCAATATGCATTTAAAGTTCCTTCATGTCTTTTCACAGCTTGATTATTGTTTTATTGCTGAATAATAGTTCACTGTATGGCTATATCATTTTAACCATTTCTGAATTATCCATTTTTAATTGAGTTATTTGTCTTTTTATCTATTTTTAGCCATTCCTTATATATTTTAGATATAAATCTCAGGAAGTTTCAGTAAGGTTGCTGGATACAGAATCAACATACAAAACAATACACAACAGGGCCAGGGATTTAGCTCAGTGGTTCTGCCGCCTGCCTCGCAAGAACAAAGACCCGAATTAGATCCCCAGAACCAAAAAACAAAACAAAACAAAAAAAACCCAACAGTGTCTACTATACACTTGAAAAAACAGTATAAAAATGAAATTAGGAAAGCAATTACTTTTACAGTAGCATCAAAAGAACAAAATAGGAATAAATTTAACCAAAGAAGTGCAAAACTTGTGCTTTGAAAAGTACAAGATGAATTAAGAGAAGTGAAAGAAAATCTAAATAAATCATCCAGTGAGCATGGGTCAAGGATTTAACATTAGATGCCATTGCTCCTCAAAGGGATTTATAGGTTCAGTGTGACCCCTATCAGAATCCCACATAACTTTGTAGAAATCAATGGACTGATTTTAATTCATTTGGAGTTACTAAGGACCCAACCAAAGACTGACCAAAGCAGTCACGAAAAGAACAAAGTAGATAGATGTGTTAGTTTTTTGTGGCTGTGACCTAATGCTTGAGAAAATCACATCTGATTTTTGGCCCATAGTTTCAGAGATTTCAGGCTGTGGTCAGCTGGCTGCGTTGTTCTGGGCCTATAGGGAGAACATCAAGGTGGGAGGACATAGAGGTGGAAAGCTGTTCATCTCTGAGAAGCAAGGAAAGAGGGAAGGAGCCAGAGAGAAAGGGGTCAGGGACAGGTACTGTCACCAAAGCCGTGTCTCTGTGTCTTTTAACTCAGCTCCATGTCCAGTTTCCATCACCTCCTGGGATCCAGTCACTATCCAAAGCCCATCAGCCACCAAGCCTTGGGAGATGTTATGGATTCCAACCACAACAGAAGAACTCACACTTCCTCACTTGAAAAGTTATTACAAATTAACAGTAATCAGGACAGTGTTGTACTGCCATGAGAGCATACATATAGACCAGTGGGTGGAATTGGGAGTTCAGAAACAAATCCAGATATTGATAGTAAACTGATTTTTAATAAAGGTGACAAGACCATTCAGTGGGGGAGAGAATACTCTTAAAAAGTTGATGTGACAGCTGGACATACATATGCAGAAAATGAAGTGAGGCCTTTATCTTATATTCAGAAATTACCTCAAAATTGATCAGATCTAAATATAAGAACTAAAAGTAAATAACTCTTAGAAGAAAATTGGGAGTAAATCTTCCTAACCTTGAATTTACCCAGGATTTCTTAGTATAATACTAAAAGTATAACCAGCATAATGAAAGTTGATAAATTGTATGTTATCAAGACTAAAATTTTTGTTTTTCTAAGGATACCTTTCAAGAAAGTGAAAAGGAAGAAAACGCTTGCAAACCATAGTGTTATGGTGTGGTTCTTAAAAACCAATGTGTTAAAGCATTATTGTCAGCCTGCCATTGGGAGGTACAACTTTTGTGTGGTGGGGTCTAGTGGAAGTGTAAATAAGATCCATATTGTATAACTGATAATGTGAAATAAGAAGAAAAGGGATAAAGGTGTAGGGGAAGTGGGAAGGGTAGGGAAAGGAAATGAGGGACAAGAAAAAATGTGAGAAAAGGAAAAAATGGAAACAAAGTCTTTGTAAATAGGGGAGGTTGGAGGGGGTGAAGGAGGGCAGGGGTATGGGGAAAAATGAGAAGCAAGACCTGTCATGTAAAGGTACAAGATCCCAATGATGAATGTAACTGTACTGTGTACTTTAAAAGTACCAATAAACTCAACAAGATTTAAAAAAAAAAAAAAACTTTGGGTACTACTAGTTAGTAAGAACATCTGGATCCTTTGGTCTTCAAATTCAATGCTCCACAGATTATAAACTTAATAAGTGCAAATAGTCGTAGAATTGTGTATAGATAGGCTATTGCTGTTTGTAATAGCATATTGACTTTTGTGTCAGAGATCACTGTGATCTTGGGTTGGTTACTGCCTGTAGAAAATTACTAAGGAAATTTAACTTTTACAGTTTTGGGCACACAGTACATAACAAAGATTAAAGGATAGATTGTGATTTCTAAGTGTGTGTCCTTAAAGTACTTCACAGTGTATCATTTTGCTTAGTAAAGGACTGGAATCCATGGCTCCTTTCTTAGAAATTCTTGAGTGGTGACAAATAAATGACTTCAAGAACATCATAAAATTAACAGATTTCCGATAATTTCTTTTTATTTCATAAGTAGATTTAGGAGTATTTTCTTTTATTTTAACTTTATTGTAGAAAAGAGGTTTTTTAAAATTAGAAATTCCAGGTAGAAAAGGAATTGAATATAAAAAGCTTTAAAGTTTTGCCCTTTCTTTCTTTGTTTTGAGGATGGGGTACCGGTCATCAAACTGAGGTCCTTGTGCTTTCGAGGCAGGTGGTGGCACCACTGAGCTAAATCCCCGGCCACTTGCCCATTTCTTGGAATTACTAAAGATTAGTGTAATTTTCCTCTGTCTCTATGCCACTTTCATCTTTCTAGTGAGGAGATAGAAGAGCTTTGAGCAAATAAGTTTTCAGTGCTTTGCTCATATAATGGGTGTTTTTTTGTTTAAAAGTAGAAAAATAGCTGGGTGTGATGGCACAAACCGTAATTCCAGCACTCAAGATTGCTGCAAGTTTAAGGTTGGCCTGAACTACATAGTGAGTCCAAGGCCAGCCTGGCTGTGTAACAAGACCCTATCTCTAATATATATATATATATATATATATGTACATATAAAATAAAAAGGGGTTTAGAGAAATTTACCTAATCAGGAAACTTACTGTGAAGTAGTACCTTATTAAATAAGTTATCTTTTTCAAATTTGTAGGTCTTGTTACACTGAAGCACTCCATGACTCCATTTTTAAAAGTGGAGCCGTTTCTTCCAGGACACTATGAAGTTCTGGATTTAAAACCAAATGGCAAAGTGGCTTCGGTGGAAATGGTTAAATTTCATCACTGTACGGATGAACCTGCGCATGCCATCCATGACGGAGTAGGGAAACTTTCTCCAGGTAACGAGCAGCTACTTATGCCCCACCCCTTTCCAGCAGTGATGGAAAGTCATACTGTCACATCAGTGGTGATTTTAATGTTAAGATCCGTTTCCTGTTTCACTTGGATGTAACGTGCTGAGGCTTGGGAGACTCCACTGTTGACTGCTGGGTATGGATAACTGGACGTCATTTTCATAAGTAAGTCAGCCTCAGTTTTTCTGGAGCTGTTGAATGTACTTTCTGTGTTCATAGGTTTTGAGATAGAAATTGTGAAGAGCAACCTCCGTGTCCTTTTTAACAATGCTGTTAAGAAGCGGTTGATGACAGATAGAAGGATTGGCTGCCTTTTATCAGGTGAAGTCCATTTAACAGTTTAATAATATTTAGTGTTGTTTAAGTGAAATGATTTATAGCCATTCCTGAGGTTTTAACTGAAATATTTGTTTTATGAGTTAATATTGTCTCTGGTAAAGGGCATAAAACTTTGTAAGTTTCATTTAATATTCAGAGTGATACAATTTAAGAGCTGTTCTATAGCTGTATTAGTGTTAGTATCTAGGAGTACACTTTCTTTAGAATCCTGTGTAGTGAATTTTAACCAATTTAAATATAGTTACCGTTATTGCAGCATCCCATAAAAATTATGTTATATTTTTTCATTTATTAAAGTTTATTTCTGTTTGTAAAATTTGGAGCTCTTAAGTGGTAAAGCTAAAATCCCAATGTTTAATAGGACTGTAAGTTACGATGTCTGTCCCAGTGTAATGCAAGGCACATAACCAGGACACCGGTTCTCTTGTTTATAGGGGGCTTGGATTCCAGCTTGGTTGCTGCCACTCTGTTGAAGCAACTGAAAGAGGCCCAAGTACAGTATCCTCTCCAGACATTTGCAATTGGCATGGAAGACAGCCCTGATTTACTGGCTGCTAGAAAAGTAAGAAGCTATCTGTGTACATTATGTATTTAGAACAGACTTGTTACTAGGTTGGAAATCAGATCAGTAGAGATGATCCTATTTCTGCTGCTACATTGACTCCAGTAATTGTTTAAAATTAAATATGTTAAAATGGAATGAAATGCCTTTTGAATATCCACCATGTTCTGCATTGTACCCAGTTATTTTTCCATCATAATCCATATAGTCCTCACAAAAACACGTCACATTAATTCTGTGCTGCAAGTCCAGGCATGGAGGGATGTTAAAACCTCGGGCTTTGGAGTTTCAAATCCTGGGTTTACCACCCCCAAGTCCTCACTTACATAATAGGAATAATAGTATCTACAGTGGGATAGTTTGAAGGAAAATATGTAACTCATATGAAGTACATAGGATAGAATCTAGCAAGTAAGTATTTAGTGAATGCTAGCTGATTTATTTTATCATTTGTTATGCTTAGAACTGTGGGCAAAGGAAGCCTTGTATATAATATGTAGAAGATCTGATTCTTGGTCTCGAAGACTCAAGAGTGAATGAGAAAGCTGGGAGAGCAATCTCAGTGCAAATTGATCGATGCTAGAAGACTGCAAAATATCCAAAGAACGTAGCAGGTGGCGAGGGCCATTCAGTGTAGGAATAACATCATGGATATAAAGTTAGAAATTGCATCTCTGGTGTGAAACACTACAGTAGTACACAAGATCCTATGAGATAATTAACAATGGAAATAGGGAGAAAAGGGCTAAAGGTGTAGGGAAAGTGGGAAGGGTAGGGGAAAGGGAATAAGGGAAAAGAAAAAATATGAGAAAATGAAAAATGGAAATAAAGTCTTTGTAAATAGGGGAGGAGGGGGTGAAGGAAGGGCAGGGACAAGGGGAAAAAATGAGAACCAAGACCTGTCATGTAAAGGTACAAGAGCCCAATGATGGATGTAACTGTACTGTGTACCTAAAATGTACCAATAAAGTCAATAAAAAGAAAAAAAGCAATTGAAGAGGGCCCACAGGAGACCAACATTAGAGTGGAGGCGTGCTGGACAAGAGAGAGATGAGCTAGGTCAGGTGAAGTAGGTGGCAAAAGGAGGTGCTAGTCGGGTGCCTCGTGTTTATTAGGTGGCAGCCTCGGAATGGGCAGAGCTTAGGGAGACAAAGTGTCTTGTGGCTGAGGGGCAGAGAGCAGGGAGGCAAGGAACTTGAGTAGGTGGGGCTTGTATGTAGCACCCTGGAGAAAACCTTTCCTGTTATTTTGCCTGTGTTTGCAGTTGCTCGTGGAACACTATTTCATTTTTAAGGGTAGTCCTTTTCTTTACATATGTACTATGTGGATTTTTCTTTCTATACTCAGGTGGCAAATCATATTGGAAGTGAACATCATGAAGTCCTCTTTTCCTCTGAGGAAGGTATTCAGGCCTTGGATGAAGTCATATTTTCCTTGGAAACCTATGACATTACAACAGTTCGAGCATCAGTAGGTAAGGCACTTTACGAATTAAAAACTTTTTTTTAAAAAAATTAATTTTAATGGTACATTTTAGGAATACAATATAATGACATTCATCAATGTCATTTACAATGTCATTGTACCTTTACGTAATCTATCTTGGTTCTTACTTTTTCCCGTTCCCCTGTCCTCCTCTCACGCCAGTGAAACTATTCAGTATTTACACCTCTGTCTCATTTACTTCACTTAAGAGTATCACCTCAACGTGCGTCCATTTAGCTATAAATGTTTCTAATTTCTCATTCTTTATGGCTGAGTAGTACTCCATTTTATAAAAACAAAACACATTTTCTTTGTCCAGTAGGCATTTGGGCTGTTTCCAAGTTTTAGCTATTACAAACTGTGCCACTAAAAACACGGGTGCACATATTTTGCTGTTGTATGATTCCTTTTAATTCTTTTGGGAAGATACACACTAGGGAAAAAGCTGGGTCAAATGGGACCTCTTGTCCTAGCTCTTTGATGTATCTCCATACTGATTTCCTCAGTGGTTGCGCCACTCTACACGCCCACCAGCAGTGGAGTAGGGTTCCTTTCTCCCCACAGCCCTGCCAGCATTTGTTATTGGTTGATTTCATGATAGCAGCCATTCTTTCTGGGGTGAGGTGGAATCTCAGCGTTGTTTTTATTTGCATCTCTTGAATGACCACCGATGTTGAATTGTTATTTGTGTTTATTTGCTGTTTCTACTTTTTTGTCTGAGAAATGTCTGTTCTTTTCAGATGCCCATTGTTGGATTGGGTTTTAAAATTTGGGAGGTTTGATTTTTTTTTTTAACGTTCTTTATATATTCTAGACACTAGAACTTTTTCTGAGGAACATCTGGTAAAAATTTTTTCCCACATTGTGAGTTGTCTCTACATGCTGTTGATGCCTTCTCTTGCTGTGCAGAAGCTTTTTGTTTTTGGTACTGGGGATCGAACTCAGGAACTTGTGCTTGCAAGTTAGGCACAGTGCCACTGAGCTAAATCCCCGGCCCTACAGAAGCTTAATAAGAGATCCCACTTGGTGATTCTTTGTGGGAGTTCATGTGAAACTGAGGGTTTGTTTGCGAAATCTTTTCCTACGCCAGTGTCTTCAAGAGTTCTACCTAAACTCTCTTTCAGCTGGTTTAGTGTTTCTGTTTTAATATTTAGATCTTTAACCCATTTCGATTTTAGTTTAGTGCATGGTGAAAGATATAGGTCTAGTTTTAAACTTTGACAAGTTGAAACCCAATTTCTCCAGCACCACTTATTAAAGAAGCAGTCTTTCTTCCAATGAGTGTGTTTGGTTCCTTTGTCAAAAACGAGGTGGCTGAGTGTATCTGGAGTTGTTTCTGTATCTTCTTATGGGTTCCACTGGTCCTTGGGTCTTTTTCTTTGCCAGTGCCATGCTGTTTTTATCACAGTAGCTTTGTAGTATAGTTTCAAGTTAGGGATTGTGAATACCCCTGCCTTGGCTTTGTTGCGTAGAATTGCTTTTGCGATTTTAAGTCTCTTCTTGGTCCAAATGAATTTTGGGATTGTTTTCTCAAGGTCTGTAAAGTATGCTGTTGAAATTTAAACTGGGATTGCATTGAATCTATATAGCAGTTTTGAAAGCATGGCCATTTTCACTATGTTGATTCTTCCTACCCAGGAGCAAGGGATGTCTTTAGATTTTCTGATAACCTCTTTGATCTGTTTTTTTTTTTGAGTGCTACAGTTTTCAGAGAAGAGGTCTTTGATTTTTTTTTTTTTTTGGTTAGGTTGATTCCTGGGTATTTCTTTTTCTCTTTCTTTCTTTCTTTGTGCTATTGTGAAGGGAGTTGTTTCTCAAGTTCTTCTTTAAGTGAGTCTGTTGTTTGTGTAGAGGAAATCAATAAATGTAATACACTATATTAATAGAGCCCAGGACATAAACCATATCTCAATAGATGCAGAAAAAGTGTTGGACAAAATCCAGTACACATTCATGATTTTAAAAAATCCCTACAGAAAATTAGAATAGATGGTCTTTATCTCAACCTGATAAAAGCCATCTATGAAAAACGACAAGGATGTCCACTATCACCACTCCTGTTCCATATAGCTTCGGAAATATTAGGTACAGCAACTAGACAAGAGAAAGAAATAAAAGGAATAAAGATAGAAAATGAAGAAGTTAAATTGTTGTTATTTGCAGATGACATGATACTCTATGTAGAAAACCCCAAGAACTCTGCCAAAAGTCTTCTAGACATAATAACCAAATTCAGTAGAGTGGCTGGATATAAGGTCAATTCACAAAAAACTTTTTATTTAATATTGTAAAAGCATAAGCTTTAAAAGTATTTTAAGTAGTAGTGTGTCATTCAGTGTTCTATATATTGTGAGAAGATACCTGAGAAAAATCAACTTAAATGGAAGAAAGTTTTATTTTGGCTTCTGGTTTCAGAAGTTTCAGTCCATGGTTTGTCAGCTCCATTGATTTTGGGTCTGTGGCAAGGCAGTACATCAGGGTGGGGGCAAAGCTCTTCACTTCATGGCAGCCAGGAAGTGCCAAGGAAGAGAGGAAGGACCAGGACCCTATTGTTTCCTTCAGCAGCATGCCTCCAGTGACCTAGATTCTTCCACTAGGCCCTCTTGGTAAGAGTTTCAACTCCTTCTAATAGTGCCACAGGCTGGGAGCACCATCCTTCAGACTCCTAGGCCTTTTGGTGGGCATTCCATATCCAAACCACAGTAAGCAGTTTAAGTAACATTGTTTAAGAATGAATACAAAAAAAATCTTATATTACTAATTATTTATGACCCCTTCAGAATTCCTTGAATTTCCTTTGGAGTGAAGGGGTCACTACATATATATTTTACCTACCATATGTATGATATCATTTTTTCTATTTTCCCAAAAAAGTAGCCATATGTTTTGGCCCCCTGCCCTTCCAGGATCTCAGTTTCTTGGGCCATTTAGTCAGCCTCCATGTTTGTAGGTTCTTCATCCTTAGATTCAACTGAGGACTGAAAATATTTGAAAATAAAATTGTATCTGTATTGCACATGTACAGAATTTTCTTTCCTTGTCTTTATTTCTTTAGCAATATAGCCTAATAACTATTTCCATGGTATTTATGTTGTATTATGTGTTAAAAATAATTTATGATGATTTAAAGTATAGGTAGCTCTTAAGAGACATTGTAGGTTCAGTTCCAGACCTCTGCAATAATGCAAATGTTGCTGTTAATAGTCACAATTTTTTGGTTTCAGGTACATATAAAAATCATGTTTGTGCTGTACTGTAGTCTGTTAAGGTTTAATAGCATTATTTCAGGCCAGGAGTTGTGCAGGCCTGTAATCCTAGCACTTGAGAGGCTAGAGGCAGGAAGATCACTATGAGTTCAAGGCTGGCCTGAACTCTATAGTGAGACCTTCTCTCAAAAACAGGTGCATGCCATAATTATAAAATAGTTTGTTGCTAAAAAAAAGTTAATAATCATTTTGTTGGAAAAAGTGATACAAGTATTGATTCAAGATTCCCACAGACATTTAATTTTTTTTAAATGAAAAATCTGTGAAACACAATAAAGCAAAATAAAACAATATTTACCTATATATAGGAGGCTGTACGTAGGGTATGTGCAAATACTGTGACATTTTATAAAAGGGACCTGGGCATCTGCAGACTTGGGTATCTACAAGGGGTCCTAGAACCAATCCCCATGGATGCCAGCGAAAGACTGTGGTCTGTGTAAAATGGGAAATAGGTCTGTACTGTAATTCTTTTTCCTCAGGGAGAACTTTCTTCAGATTGAGGTGTGTTTTAGTAAATATTCCATCATACAACCTAACAATTACTAGCTGTGATTGCCTTGCAGACAGTAGTAGTTTTATCTGGTAGATGCATATTGATATTTGAATTGTATGCCAAATCAGATCCTATGTTGTTGCTGAGTCTGAAAAGTGCAACTGTCTTTTTTTGTTTGTTTGTTTGTTTTTTGTTTTTTTTTTTTTTTTGAGACAGAGTCCCACTATGTAGTTGAGTCTAACCTGCAACTCACTATGTAGCCCGGGCTGGTCTCGAACTCACAGTGATCCTCCTGCCTCAGCCTCTCAAGTGCTGGGATTACAGGCGTGCACTACCACGCCCGGCTTAAGTGCTACTGTTTTGGATATATATCTTTTTAAAGATATTTCCTTGTGGGGCAAAAAAAAAAAAAAAAAAAGCCCAAATCTCTCTCTCACTCTCACACGCACGCACACACACACACACACACCCCAAACCTTAGGTATTACATTGACTTATGGCCCTCCAAATATCATAGAAAATAGCAGGTATACAATATATTATTGAAATTTAATGGGGTGGGGTGGGATTAGGAAAAATGTTAAAAAGGCTTCCTGGGAAATATCTGTTCATTTAAAATGCCTATTTTTGAAGTGGGTCTTTATATTTGGGGGGGCTGATTGTTTTGAGTTCTTTATATATTCTAGATAATAGTACTTTGAGGAACAGCTGGTAAAAATTTTTTCCCACATTGTACGTTGTCTCTTAGCTCTGTTGATGGTTTCTTTTGCAGTGCAGAAGCTTTTTAATAAGATGAGATCCCAGTTGTTGAAATTTTTTGCTAGTTCCCATGCTACTAAGGATTTGTTCATAAAGTCTTTTCCTATGCCAATGTCTTCAAGAGTTCTGCCTAACTTCTCTTCCAGCAAGTTTAGTGTTTCTGTTTTTATATTTAGATCTTTAATACACTTAGATTTTAATTTAGTGCATGGTGAGAGATAAGGGTCTAGTTTTAATCTTTGGCAGGTTGAGATCCAGTTTTTGCAACACCATTTATTAAAGAGGCTATCTTTCCTCCACTGAGGACGGTCAGCTCCTTTGTCAAAGAGGAGGTAGCTGAGTGCATCTGGAGTTGTTTTTGAGTCTTCCAGTCTGTTCCACTGGTCCTCAGGTCTGTTTCTTTGCCAGTACAATGCTGTTTTTATCACAGTGGCTTTGTAGTATAGTTTCAAATTGGGAATTGTTATACCCGCTGCCATGTGTCTGTTGCCTAGGATGGCTTTTGCTATTCTAGGTCTCTTATGGTTCCAAATGAATTTTTGGATTGTTTTTTCTATTTCTGTGAAATAGAGTGCTGGGATTTCAATTGGCAGTGCATTGAATCTGTATAGCAGTTTTGGTAGTATGGCCATTTTCACTGTGTTGTTTCTTCTTACCCAGGAGCAGGGGATATCTTTCCATTTTCTTATATCCTCTTCGATCTTTTTTTTCAGAGTGCTGTAATTTTCAATGTAGAGGTCTTTTGCTTCTTTTGTTAGGTTGATTCCTAGATACTTCATTTTTTTGGATGCTATTGTGAAAGGAATTGTTGCCCTAATTTCTCTCTCAGTGAGTCTGTTGTTTGTGTACAAGAAGGCTACTGATTTTTGTGTGTTGACCTTGTATCCTGCTACTCTGCTGAAAGGGTCAGTTAAGTCTAGAAGTCTTTTGGTGGAGTTTTTTGGGTCATCGATGTAGAGTATCATATCATCAGCAAATAATGACAGTTTAACTTCTTCCTTTCCTATCTTTATTGCTTTAAAGAAGTAAAAGCAGTAAGTAAATATACAAAAAAATGTTCCACAGCACTGGTCATTCGAGAGATGCAGATGAAAACAACACTGAGATTCCACCTCACCCCACAAAGAATGGCTGCTATTAAGAAATCACATAATAACAAATGTTGGCGGGGTTGTGGGGAGAAAGGAACCCTTCTCTGTTGGTGGGAGTGCAGACTGGTGCAACCACTATGGAAATCAATATGGAGATACCTCAAAAAGCTGGGACTAGAGGTTCCATTTGACCCAGCCATCCCTCTGCTGGGTATCTTTCCAAAAGAATTAAAAGAAACATACCACAGTGCTTTATGCGCACCAATGTTTATAGTGGCACAGTTTGTAATAGCTAAAACTTGGAAACAGTCCACTTGCCCATCAGTTGGAAACTGGATAAAGAAGATGTGGTTTTTCTATAAAATGGAGTACTACTCAGCCATAAAGAACGAGAAAGTAGATTCAGTCATAGGAAAATGGATACATTTTGAGGATATACTCTTAAGTGAAATAAATAAGTCACACATGTGCAATAACCGAATAGTTTCTCTGGTGTGAAAAACTAAAATAGTACTCAAGATCCTAATGGGATAATTAGCAGTGTGAAATAGGAAGAAAAGGGCTAAAGGTGTAAGGGAAGTGGGAAGGGTAGAGGAAGGGGAATAAGGGAAAGGAAAAAAAATGTGAGAAAAATGTAAAAATGGAATTAAAATATTTGTAGGGGGGTAGGGGAGGTGGGGGTGAAGGGAGTGTGGGGACAAGGGGAAATAATGAGAACCAAGACCTGTCATGCAAAGGTCCAAGATCCCAGTAATGAATGTAACTGTACTGTATACCTAGAATGTACCAATAAACAAAATTTAAAAAAAAAAGGCTCCCTGGGAGGGTTCTTTAGGTACAGTGAAGTTCCGTAAATAAGGAGTGGTAGAGGGAAAAATAACAAAGTTTAAACGAAATCACTTGTATTAGTCTATTTTCTGTTACTATAATGAAGGACCTGAGGCCTGGTAACTTCTAAGGTGTGTTTAGCTCATAGGTTTGGAGGCTGCAAGTCTAAACAGCATGGCACTCTGGCCAGAGCCCTTCTGGCTGTGTTCCTTCGTGGTAGACAGCGTCACAGTAGGAGTGTGTGTGACAGGGAGGGGTCAAAAGGGGAAAGTGGAAGGAAGTGCCCTTGGGAGGGGCTCCTTTGTAGCTGCAAGCTCGCAGGACAGCTACTGGGCGCACCTTCAGGGACCAAAGGACTTTCCTAAAGTTAGGCCCCCTGTTGCCACAGTGCATCAGATCTTTCATACATAACCTTCAGGGACACAGCATATTAAAACTGCAGTACTACTAAACCCTTTTTTGTGTTACAATACCAGTGTACGAGGCATGATTTTTACACATTTGAGTCATTCATTGTTAAGTTTAGCAAAATTGCAGGGTGGACAACTCTTGATTTGAAAACATTAGAACTTTAAAAATTGCCTAAAATTGTAGAATGGTTTCTGGGCTATTTTGTTACAATGGTATTACTTTTGAATTAACTACACAGGAATGGCTTGTCAGTGTAAGGTTATTTTGGAAGTTACTTCATATTCATACAAAGCCCAGTATAGTAGTGAAGCCTGCAGCTTCTTTTAAAAGCCGCTCTATTTATCTGTATCTATATATTAAGAAAATAATAAGTATATATTTATTTTTGATGGGAGGTTATGTTGACAACATTAATGCTTTTTCTTATTTGAGGTATGTATCTAGTTTCTAAGTATATTCGGAAGAATACAGATAGCGTGGTGATCTTCTCTGGAGAAGGATCCGATGAACTGACTCAGGGCTACATATACTTCCACAAGGTGAGCACTCTGAAGTGAGGGGACATCTGTGCTAGATGAAGAAAAGTCTAAATTATGTGACTGTTTTATATCACCTGTCATCTCAGTGTAACAGTGACATTTTTAGTATCTTATGAGTTCATACATGTGAGAAAATCTAATAGTGTGTACCTGTTATTTCTTTTATGAAGAAAGAAGTCTTAATAGTATCCGATAACACTCATTCTCTAAACTTAGTAAAACTGAGAATCACCTTTCAGTTTCTTAATCCCTGCAGCACCACATCCCTTCCCCAGTGTGCATGTTTCGTTTGCTCTACACTAAGTGTCTGGGCTGTGGAGAAGGTCTGTTTAAGTATTGCCTGCTGGTGTCCAGTCCTCTGCTCCATCCCCAGCCTCGTTTTCCTGCCTGCCTTACCCACCTTTAGTATCACAGTGCATGAGTGCACCTAGGAGGGAGAAGTTAAAAGTGTTCTATGTGTCAAAAGAAAGGCTGTTCTTTAGCTCATTGTTTGTAAAATAGGCCCCTTCTCCAGAAAAGGCCGAAGAAGAGAGCCAGAGGCTTCTGAAGGAACTGTATTTGTTTGATGTTCTCCGTGCTGACCGAACTACTGCTGCCCACGGGTAACTAGACCATTTAAGAAGCGATTCTTTAAAATAAAGACATAATAAATAAATAGGATTGGTGGATGAGGTGCCCCCCCACAGTTGGCCAAATGTTGCAAAGTGTGATGTTTCTTTTTATAAACAAAATGAAAGTTGTCTCTTTTAGCACCAAAAGAGTTGGGATAAAGTGAGAGTGCTGCCGTGGGAAGGCGGAGCAGTTTTCTGTGTTGTTTCAGACATAGTCCCTTTTATTCTTTCAGTACTGGGGATGGAACGGTCTTCCATCAGCTGGTCTTCCATCAGCTGCGTTCCCAGGGCTTGATTATGCTCCCCTCCTGTCTCCTCCCCTCCCCCTCCTCCCTCCCCTCTCTGCTCCTCCCCTCTCTGCTCCTCCCCCTCCTTCCCCTCCCCG